TATACGTACGACTACAGTAGTACTACCGACTATCTATAATATATATATATTAGCTACCACTTTACTATACTATATATAATATAGTATATATATTTATCTCGTGAATTTTATTTATTTATTTCCTAAAATTTACTTAAATTTCAATATGTATTTTTCTCTAGCCTTGTACCTTAAAATCATCTCATACAATAATCTGTGAAAAATAAAATAAAAACTACTAATTACGCCCCCTTGCTAAACGTCTTAATATTATGATATCCTACACAATGTCCATAGCTCAAGATGCCCAGATGCTTATTTAAGTACTTATTGTTAGACTTTTTGCTTGTGTGTTATTGAAGAATAATGAGAATCTGCTTTTCACATTCTTCTTATTGTACTTACCTGTTATTGTTTTGATATTTTTTACTTGTATACCTTATTTCATTTTACACTTTCTGAAAATATCTAGATCAATTTATTTCTAGAAATTTGCTCCAGTCTGGTGATCTTGTTGATGTCCTCATTGTTATATTTAATCAATCTTCATGACTGTTCACCTTTTACCAAAAAACAATTATGCGAGATTATTCACAACTCGGAATAAAAACAATAATACTTATTAAAATTTATAATTACTCAAGTATTTTCCCCAATAGAATGTAATATTGGAACACCTATATGTATATATATAAATTTGAATGACTTTCCCAAAAATTAAGTTTTAACTCAATCGTAATTACATCTCACTTTCCAGTAACAGATAACAACGGGCGTAGCTTTTAATTTGCTGAAATTCTAGGCAAGTGTGAGTTTTAATTTGCTGAAACACTGGTAGAAATATTCCCTATCTTCCATTTTTTTGAAATATTTATTCCAAGATTAGCATTTTTATTAAAGTGTACACGTGTTTTCGTGTCTGCTGAACTGGGAATCTAGGTCAAAGTACTTGAACAGCAAGGCAAGCGGTTAGACAGAAGGTTGGTTACCTTCCTTGAAGGCTAACTGATCACGCAAGGTCAGTCGGGCTTCAAGTTCAACATTGCCGACGACGTACAGCCACAATTATTAAAGTATATCTCATATATCGTCTATTGACGAACATCCGTAAATTCTTTGAAGGATACATGTTAAGTATCATTTGACGGATAGCCAGAAATAACTTGAAAATTCTAATTCTTTCATTACCATTTCTATCAGACGAAAAACTAAGAATGGTGACACTTTGTCATATTTACCAACACACTGCGCAGTGTAATTTAAAAAACAAACAAACAAAAAACATTGCTACATTTACTAATATCTTCCGCAATGCAATTAAAAAACAAACTAGGTCAACACAAGAATTTGGCAACAACGAACTAAATGTCTAATCATTTTTATTAGATGTACACAGGTTATATTCAGCTATATCAAATGATCTGATAATTTTCCAAGGTACTGGATATTTAGTGACAACAACTGCAGACAAGTTAAAGCAATAAAAGAGGCGAGAACTGGGTTCGGTACACACAATTATGCCGTGAAAACTGGAAATACAGACATTGTAACACGAGTTACCTTTAACATGATTGTATGATATCGAATCTTGGAATGATGTTAGCACCCCGCCTCTTAACCTGTCAAAAGGTTAACATTATATCCCTTCTATAACACATGCTATTTATAACACGATTTTACAATATCGAATCTTGATATGCAATTTGGAAGGGTGTTAGCATCCTATCCCATGATGAGGTTAATATTAGCTCTTTTGTAACATAATCCAATTAGAGTTGCTAATTAAAGTAATTATGAAGTGTCAAAAAATCCCTTTCATACAATTTTAACTTTAGGAAGCATATGGCCTCCTGTTCTTTGTCGTGACTAATGTTTTATTGAGTATTATGAGCTAATTCAAACGACTAAGTGGAAAATCCTCTCCTGTGATGAGAAGCACATAAATTAGGGTTATTAATATTCTATTGCTATCTGAGGTTAACTACTGATCTAATGTCAAAAGACTTAACCATTTTATAATATAAAGCTTTAACAAAAGCTGCTGATTCGTCAACTTTCAAACATTAACAATGTAAATTCTTTAAAAAACCAAACCGTACAAAACTTGCTGTCTTTTCAGTAATAGTTTCCGTAACAAAATAAACAAACAAACAACAACAACAAAAAAAAAACAACAAAAAAAACAGAAATATGGACTCAAAAACTGAACAAATAAACAGATGAGGCTAGTTCTGTAATTTATTATTCACGTATGCT